GGAGGCAACAGGGGCTGACCCAGGATATCTGTCGATGGAAGCCCAGGGAAAGCAGCAGCAGCAGCAGCAGCAGCAGCAACAGCAGCATATGCTGCAGCAGGAGACACAGCAGCAAACGTGGGTTGCAGTTCAGGTGTATTGACAGAGTCCCCCGGCGAGTGAACCTGCGCGCTGCTGCCCCTCTGCTGCTGCTGCTGCTGCTGCTGCTGCTGCTGCTGGAAGGGGAAGGGCTGCGGGGGGTTTATGTCTGCATCTAGCACACACTGTCTCCTCTGTCTTGCTGCACTGAGCAGTATCTCCTCGAGAGAAGCACAGGAGCGGCCTACTCGTTTGAACCCAGGTGTTTCTGCTGCTGCTGCTGCTGCTGCTGCTGCTGCTGCAGATACACCCCGCCACCAGAGGCCCCCAATTGCTGCTGGGGTGTCACCTCGAACCCGCGCAGAAGCAGGCAACGAACTGTCTCCTATGCCTCCTGCTGCTCCTGCTGCTGCTCCTGCTGCTGCTGCTGCTGCTGCTGCTGCTGCTGGAGAGCGAAACGGAGGCACTGGGGAAGAGACAGCAGCAAAAGGGTGAGATGGGGGCCCCAGACACAGCGGCGGTGTATTCCCCACGTCAACAGTACCCCGTCTCCTCATATAATTCTCTAACTGCTGCTGCTGCTGCTGCTGCTGCTGCTGCTGCTGCTGCTGCTCGTCCTGCTGTTGCTGCCCCCACAGTGTAGAAGCCAGGAAGGGCTCAGCGAAACGCTTAGAACGTTTTCTCTGCTGCTGCTTCTGGCCCCCTTCACCAGAGCTGCTGCTGCTGCTGCTGCTGCTGCTGCTGCTGCTTGTGGTTGTGGTGCGCCGTCTCCGCACCTTTGTTGCTGCTGCTGCTGTTGCTGCTGCTGCTGTTGCTGCTGCTGCTGCTGCTGCTGCTGCTGGGTGCTGACGAGGTGATGCATGTAAAGGATACCTATGGGCCCTGCCGCGGCCTCTGAATCTCCTGCGGTTGCTCCCTCTATCTGCTGCGTCAGACGCTGCGTTGCTGCTGCTGCTGCTGCTGCGGTTGCTGCTGCTGCTTCTGCTTTGGCAGCTCCAAATTGCATCTCCTGATAGTTCTGCTGCTGCAGCAGCAGCAGCAGCAGCAGCAGGTGTTGCTGCTGCTGGAGATATATCCTCCCCTTCTGCTTCGAGCTGCGACAGCGGGGCAGCACTGCTGCTGCTGCTGCTGCTGAGTTCCAGCTGGGGCCGACGCTGCTGCTGCTGCTGCTGCTGCTGCTGCTGCTGCTGCTGTGCCAGCATCCGCTGCACCCACTGCAGCAGCAGCACCCAGCGTCTTATA